CCAGGAGTTGGAGGTTGCTGTGAGCTGTAATGCCACGGCACTCTGCCCAGGGGGACAGCTTGAGGCTCTGTCTAAAAAAAAAAAAAACACAGAGGCCTCTTCACCCCCAGATCCCCAGTCTTGGTGTCAGGACTGGAGGAACCTGAGAACCTGCATTTTTGACATGCACCCAGGTGATGCTGATGCTGCTGGTCTGTGGACCTGAGTCCATAGGCCCAGGAGGGTGGCGCATAGATGTGTTTTTTATTTACATTTGAAATTTTTTATTGCACAATATGACACAGACACAGAACAGTCCATATAACAAGTGTATATTTTTAAATTACTTTGGTATTTAAATACTGGTATTTAAAAATTCCAGAATATTAGAGGTACATGTTTTGTTTACATACTTTGTTTTTGTACAGATTGAGTCACAGTTATAAGTGTGCCCTTCACTCAGAGGGTGTGCACTGTACCCAGTAGATATGAACTTACCCCTCTCCTCCTCCCCCGTCCCCTTCTTCCTCCTTCCCCTGTATGGACCTCACTTAGAGATGCACCTGTTTAGGTTAAGGGGCCTGGTATTACCTAGGGCTCCACAGCTCTTGCTGAGGCCTGGATCTTCGTTGGCCCCGATGAGCTGCAGCTCCTCCTAGGCCCCAGCTGTCTGATGAGAGGAGGTGGAGAGCCCCCTGTGAAGCCTACCTTGTGCAGTCCATGGATATGGCAGTGTGCAAGCTAGGCAGGAGCCCTTGCCGCCTCTGCCTCTCGTGGAGACAGGCGTCATGCAGATAAATGGCCACCAGAGGGCGAGCGAGCTACTCTGCAGAGAGACTGCAGGAAGAGCCCCAGGCCAAGGGCTGGGTGACAGGTGCCTTGCTGTGTGTGACACCAGCAAGCCTAGCCACACTCTGGCCTCAGTTTCCCCATCTGCCTCGACTGATTGCAGTTCATCAGACGTCTTAGAGAACAGGGAACCGCAGAATCTTCCACTCCCTTTGTTAAGGGACTACAAATGCAGTCATGCCCTTGGAGCCAATCTGTAGCCAACACACACCCATCTCTTTGCCTCCAAGGGCCCAGGCTGGGGGCACTGCAGGCTCAGGGGTAGAAAGGGACATCCCCCACCTGAAGTCGTGTACAATGGGGGGTTTCTGATAAGAGGGGGCACTCTTCAGCTCCTCGGTGGGGCATGTTGGGGGGACAGCTCAGGTCAGGTTGCAGAGGTTTGGGGAACCTCCCAGGACTGGTCTGGGTGTGCAGGGGAGGGCTGCACAATGGCAGTCTTTGTCAAGTGCCTGCTATGTGCCCTCCATCAGGTCCTGACAGAGGTGCTTTACACACACAAACTCATTCACTCCCCACAGCCACCCTGTTTATGCTGTAAAACAAGAGAGATCTGAGACACAGAGAGGTGAGGTAACTCGCCCAAGGTCACACAGTGAGAGTGGCAGAGCGTGAAATGAATCCAGGCTTTCTGGCTCCAGGGTCTGTTTCTAACCCATGTGGGGCTCTGGAGTGAGGAGAAGCCCCTGCCCAGGTCCTGCTGAATGCTATGCTGGGCAGCAGTACCACCTCCTTCCTCCCCTAGACAGGGAGCTCATGCCTTTGAGAGGGCCCTGAGGGCCAGTGGGCCAGGGAGAGGCACTCTACCCTAGTGGTCCTGCTGCCACACAGGGACACCTCTGCCTGGTGGTGCCCATTACACATCAGCACAGGACTGGGTCCTGGGGGCTCCAGCACCTTGGCTTAGACCTCAGCTCCACTCATGGCTCTGAGAAAGAGCCCCCTCAGTAAGGCTGCCATACAAAACACAGAATGCCTAGTTCAATTCGAACTTCAAATGAGCTATAAATACTTAACAAATGAAAGTATGTTCCAAATATTACACGGGGCATACTTACATTCAAAAAGTATTTGTTCATCTGAAATGCACATTGAACTGTCTTATATTTTTATATGTGCAGTCTGGCAGCCCCACCCCAGGAAGTCATCCCCCACCTCCTATGCCCGGTGCCAGCCTCTTCCCCTCTCCCTGGAGCAGACAGTGCCCACATCTCTCTACCTCCCTCAGCCCTGCCTGCCCTCTAGCATCTTATCCAACTTCCTCCAAAGGTCCTCCAGGCCACCTGCTGAGAGCCAGGTCTGAACTGCCCTGTCCTGCTTCAGAAGAGGAGAGAGGGCTGTGATTATGAAGAGGGTTTCAGGGGAAGGAGGGTAGGACCTGAAGACAGTCCCCTCTTCTCTCAGAATGCGGCCAGGAGCAGAGGGGCACTGATACCTCCTCTTCTGCCACACTGAAGAGGTTTGATCGCTTTACAATTCCATAAAGGAACTTTGCCTTCCAGAAATCTGTCTGGGCCCCAGTGGATGGTCATCATCTGGCAGAAGGGTCCTTTGGGTCTAGAATAACTGATCCAGGGTCTTCCCACCAAAATAAAAGCCCTTGGCGGGGGTGGGGGCAGGACTTTGGGTTTATGCTGTGCTCTCTTCCTGCTGACCTGGACCTTTCTGTTTTGCAGCTCTCTCCGGGCTTCCTTTGACTCCTTAAAGCACCGTAAGTCCTGATGGTCCCCCACTGTAAGCTCATTCCATCTTCTGAGATGGATTCTGGCCTGGCTTTGCCCAAGAGTTGAGAGGCTGGCAGAGGAGTTTGGGGGACCAATGTGTGGGTGCTAGGCTGGCCCAGGCAAGGGAGAGTTGTGGGTGGCCAACATCCATCAGATGTGACGTTGAGGACCAACATCCGTAATCTGTCCCCAGAAATGGAGAATGTGGGCAGCTCACACATCCAGCTGGCCCTGACTCTACGGGAGGAGCTGCGGAGCCTGGAGGAGTTCCGGGAGAGGCAGAAGGAGCAGAGGAAGAAGGTGAGGCAGTGCCGGGGGAGGCAGACACCCGGGCCCACTCTGGGTCACAGTGGAGCTGGGGGGGCCAGCCGTCCTGGCAGGGCCAGTGGGGGGGAAGGGGGATCATGGCACCCCAAGCTTGGGGGCTTAAGAGTGATCTGAAGGGGAGAGGTTATGGCAAAGACTCTGAGCCTGACAGCCCTACTCAGGGTCGTTCCCCCTGAGCTGCTTCATGCCAGGGCAGAGGGAAAGACATCAGTCTTTTTGTTTTTTTTCTTTTAATTTTTTAAATTTCAGGTTAATGTGAGGATACAAACAACCACGTCAAAATATTTGAATTTGTTAGGTAGAGTCCCTCTTGTAGGGTCTCAAAAGGTCTGCCATACACTGCTCTGTTGTGTCCATTCAGTGGGGCCACTCCAAGACCCCTTTCCCCCTCCCCTCGCTCTCATCCTCCTCCCCCGAACTTGAATTGAAATGAGTTTTTCTCCTCCTTGGGCATGAATTAGATCATCTACTGGCTTCATATTACATAGTATTGATATAGTATCGTATTCTTGTCATACTTTACTGAGAAGAATGTGTTTCAGCTCCATCCAGGTAAATACAAAAGATATGAAGTCACCGTCTTTTTTACACTGAATAGTATTCCATGGTATACATAGACCACAGATTGTTAATCCATTCCTGGGTTGGTGGGAAGTTAGGTTGTTTCAAGGTCTTGGCAATTGTAAATGGGAGGTCTAATTTGAGTTCTTTGAGGATTTTCTATACTTCTTTCCAAAGAGGCTGTATAAGTCTGCAGTCCCACCAACAGTGTAAAAGTGTTCCCCTCTCTCCATATCCGTGCCAGCATCTACAACTTTGGGATTTTGTGATGTGGGCTTATCTTACCAGGATTAGGTGTCATCTCAGGGTGGTTTTGATTTGCATTTCTCTGGTGATCAGGGACGATGAGCATTTTTTATGTTGGTTAGCCATTTGTCTGTCTTCCCCAGAGAAGGTAACATTGTCTTTTGATTATCTTACAACACACTCTAAAGGGTCAGTGGCAACTTGGGGGGTCCAGAGGAGGTAATCTGGTCCTGAGCCCAAGGATCAGGGCTGTTTATCTTGGAGAAAGCATATTTGGGGCAGCCACTACAGGACTGCCTGAGGCTGAGGGTGGGAATGTGAGGCACAGCCCAGCTTCCAGAGGATCCTGCCCTTACCAATGTGCAGGCACAGCCATCCGTAGACAGAGTGACTGTTTGGAAAGGTCCATCCTGAGAGATGTGCAACCAGAGGCTGAAGGATACTTATCAAGAAGCTGCAGCACTGGGTGGGGACTGGGCTCCTTCCTTCCCAAGCCTGAAGCTCTGACTGGCTGAGTCCCTGATCACTGGGAGGGCAGGCAGGATGCAGGTGGGCGTGGGTCATGGGGACAGTGTTGAGGGTGATGCACTGAGCAAGGTGGGAGAGGCTGGTGCTCAGAAATGTTTCCTTAAAGTGTCCAAAGAAAGTGAGGTGATGGTTATATTAATCAGTTTGATTTAAGTATTCCATATTGTATATCAAATCATCGTGTTGTACCCCATAAATGTATACAGTTATGATTTAATAAAAAATAAATAAAGTGTCCAGAGAACTGAAAATGAGAAGAAACAGCTGAGCTAGAAGGGGGAAAAAGACTCTACCTTGGGGCTAGGGCCAGGCTGGGCCTAGGTGTCCTGGGTGAGTCACTTCCCTGCTCTGTGCCTCAGTTTCCTTCTTGCAGGCTGGGACACCTGCACCCCCCTCCTAAGCTTTGGGAACACAGCCCAGGGCCAGATACGCCTTAGTCTTCACAGGGCTCCAGCTCTGCTCAGTGGTTTCGAGGGCAGGAATGTAGCACAGCTGCTCCCTCTCTATTTGGCCAGCTGGGGTCTGTCTTTCAAGAGTCTAAATTTGGGTTCCTGAGCAGACAAAAAAGCCATCCCCAGCAGCTGGTCCAGCCTTAAGGCACTGAAAGGGGTGGCCTCTCGGAGCTGGAAGCCACCCGCAGAGCACTTGCTGCATCAGCACCCCACCAGGCTATTCTGAGCTCTGCTGTGGCCAGAGGAGCTGCGGTGTCTGCAGAGGCTGTTTTGGACAGAACAGTCTCCTCCCCAAGCGACCAGGACCACAGCAGAGCGCTGTGCTGTGTGCCTGTGTGCATGCAAAGAGAGCAGGGGTGCCTGTGTGTGTGCCTGTGAACATGTATCCTAGCCAGGCCCCGCGTACCTGTGTGTATTTCTGTGTGTACCCGAGCCTCTGTGGGCCCTCCACAGGCACAGACCCCCTGAGACCCCAGAGACAAACTGGCCCTAGCCCAGGGCCAGGGACATTTCTTTTCGAGTTCTCCTCTTGCCTTATGAGTATAACCCAACTTCTGCCCTGGCTGTCGCACCCTCTCTATCTGAACAAGAAGGTGGGGTGCAGTGGCCACTGTGCCCACAAGTGGCCATGAGTATATGGGGTAGGATCATCTGTGCAGGGGAGAACGCAGGAGTGTGCGGCGTGTACTTGGGGCAGCATCTGTGGGTGTGCACCTTGAGTGTGTTCATACGGATCCGTGGGTGCCAGAATGTACACTTGGCAGATGAGCACTGTGCTGTGTGCAGAGGTGGTGGAACAAAGGCCGAAGGGCTGCATGTGCATGTGGAGGTGGGAGTCCCCTGGCTGAAGACCGAGCCCCACACAGGACCTGTGGCAAGGACCTGACATGGGCGGCCATGGCCTGGGCTTCTCTTTAGCCTCCCATTCTGAGGTGATTGAAGGAGCAGGTTCTGGGAGGGAAGGCTTCCTGTCACACCTCCCAGAGCCAAAAGGGGGTGCTGCGCCTCATCCCAGGGACACCCCATCCTCTTGGCCTAGGGGAGTGTCCTGAGGCTGCGGCCCCCAGCTCAGAGCCTCGTGTCCCCTGCAGTATGAGGCTGTCATGGACCGTGTCCAGAAGAGCAAGCTGTCACTCTACAAGAAGGCCATGGAGGTGAGTGCCAAGGTCTAGGGCAGCCCTCCCTCAGCCACAGTTAGTCCCTGCTGGGCATCTGGGATGGGCTTGCCTTAGATCTCTGCCTAGAAATGTGCACTGACCTTTGGGGTGCTCAGTCCCAAGTGGGTGGGCCCAGGTCCTGTCCTTGGGGGCTCTGACTGAAGGGCAGATGGACAGTCTCACACACTGGCCCAAGGGTGATCTACACTGTCACTGGGGACTCCAGGGGCAAAGGGAGGAGGAACTGTGCCCCATGAGACACCAGTGTGAAGTGGAAAGGGCTCCATGGAAGGGCAGCACTTGCAGAGGCTTGGCATTGTGAGGGCCACACCCCCAGGAGGCAGGGACCCAGGGCAGGGCCATACTGTCCCCAGGGGAAGGGCCCCCCTTCTCCCTGTCCCTGGTGAGGATGTCCCTGCTCCACCCACAGCCCCCAACAGGGAAGAGGGAGACTGGGCTTGGGGAGCCTAAGTCTGGGGGACTGAAGAGTAGGACCGTGAGGTCGTCCAAGTCACACCCCTCTGCTTCCCCAGTCCAAGAAGACGTACGAACAGAAGTGCCGGGACGCAGATGATGCCGAGCAGGCCTTGGAGCGCATTAGTGCCAATGGCCACCAGAAGCAGGTGGAGAAGGTGTGTGGGACCACTGGGCCATATGGTGTCCCCAGGGCTGGGGTAGGAAGGGGAAGCAGGAATGACAAGGTCCGCATCTGGGACATGCTAGCTGTTCAGCCCTCTCTGACCCTCAGTTTCTCCATCTGTGAAATGGGTTTTCTAGACTATCAAGGTGTGGACAGACAGGGCCAGTCAATCCCCTCTGCCAAGCTGCACCCAAGGCTCCCATCCTCATAGCAGGTCCATGTGGCCCAGGGTAATCAGAGGAGACACTCTCACAAAACTCTTGGAGAGGGACTCAATAGTCCATGTCACAGAGAAGAAACTGAGCCAGAGACAGTGATGTGCCCAAAGTCTCAGCTAGGAAGTAGCAGAGGAGGGATCCAGACCCAGGTGGTCCAGAGCCCAGGCTCACAGGCTCTTGACTGCTCTGGCCTCTGGGGTAGGGTGGGGTATCAGCTACCAGAGCCCAAGAACACATGTCACCCATTGCACAAACAGAAGAGCTGAGGGCCAGAGAAGGCAGGGATGTGAGGGTGAGTGGGGGGCAAGTGAGGGGCCAGACTCCGAGTCCCAGCCAGTGGGTTCAGCAGTGGTCTCGGGGCCTGGCATGGTCCTGGCATCTCCTTTTCATGCGCGCCTTCACAGGCTGGAGGTTTCTAGTTTTATTCCTTTTTTCTGAGAACCAGCCCATGGTTCTGGGGTGACATTGTTCGTAAGTGATGAAATCTGCCCATAGTTGGCTCCTGAGAGTCCCACTGGGTAGTCAGGGAGGGTGTGACGGAGCTGCTTCAAAGTGGCCTCAAGGGCGGAGGCTCAGCACTGCTTTCCCGTCTCCTCAGAGCCAGAACAAAGCCAAGCAGAGCAAGGACACAGCCACAGAGGCAGGTACGTGGGTCCCAGCTGCCTCCCCAGACGGGGCAGGGACCTGGACCATCTTCCCCCACATGATCTCCCTCACCCTGGCTGACACCCGGCGTGACCACCAGAATCGCAAGTGTGTCCCTTCAGTCCACATGTGTGCAGTCACACACCTTTGTGTTCTCCACTCACTGAGACTTCTTGGTACAGTGATGACCCTGACAACAGTCCTCCAAGGTGGCTGCTGTTATTATCATCTTTGTAACAGATGAGGAAACAGGCACAAAAGGTTAAGTACTTCCCCAAGGTCATACAGCCAATAAGTGATGATGACTGAACTTGAACCTAGAGCATCTGGCTCCAGAGCACAGGACTTGGATGGCCACATCCATGGAGACAGACCCCTCACCTCCCTCTTCTCACGTGCACACACAGGCACACATCCTTCACCTGAGGCCAGAACCCCCCAGCACCTCTGTCCCTGCTGGCATCCCCCCAGGACAGAGTGCTCACCCTCCTCCCTTCCCTGGGGAGGCGCTCTCCTCCTTGCTCCCAGGACCCAGCTTCTTCCCAAGCTCAGACACAGGTGACTCCCAGAGATCTGGGTACAGAGGTCCTGATCCAAGCCTGTTAGGCTCCACCCCTTCTCTAGCACATGGCAACCCCCACTGAGCCCAAGTTTCCCAACTGAGGAAAACGCAAGAGGCCTGGACTCTGAACTTGTGTGTATGAAGCTCTATTCCAGCCTTTAGGCAGCTCAAAGAATGGTGGGGTGCTAATGGTCACCTCAAAAAGAGCAGTTCCAGAGTGGAGAGTCCAGACGATTGTTTAGATGGGGCTCCAAAAGCAGCCAGGGCAGGTCCCTCTGGGAGAGGTAGGATTCCCGGGGGAGAAGCCCCTGCAGGAGCAAAGGGGTGGAGGAGCTTGTGCCACAGGGGTCCTCCCTGAGCGCCACCTGTGCTTCCAGAGCGGGTATACAGGCAGAACATCGAGCAGCTGGAGAAGGTGCGGAGCGAGTGGGAGCAGGACCACCGGACCACCTGTGAGGTGAGTGGCCTGGGCATGTAGCTTGTTCTCCACATGCAAAACAAGACACACCTGGCCCTGCTATAGCTGCTTCGAGGCAGTAGGGGGGTATCCTTCATTCATCTGCCTGCTCCCCATGCCCTTGCTGGGTCCTGCCTGCGGTGCTCACTACCTGGCTTCAGGCATTCTTCAGCCAATCTTTTGCTGAAGCCAAAACCGAGGCTCAGATGAATCCTACAGCTTCTCTGGACCCTGATGACTGAGACAGGACTCTGGGTCCTGTGCTTATCTCCCTGGCCCCTACTCCTTGCCCCTGGCCTCTTCCAGCCTGTGGTGGGGCCTGGAAGGAGCTGGGATCAGGAATGTGTGTCAGGTGGGCACAGAGGAGGGGGTGGGGGACACTCAGCAAGGTCTTTCTTTTACACCTGGCTTCCAGCAGAGCGGGCCAGGCTGGTCAGCCCTAGCTGTGCTGTGAAGGGCCCACAGCCCCCTCCTCATGTCTTCCCCACTCTCCCACTCCCAGGCCTTCCAGCTGCAAGAGTTTGACCGGCTGACCATTCTCCGCAATGCCCTGTGGGTGCACTGCAACCACCTCTCCATGCAGTGCGTCAAGGACGACGAGGTGGGGGCTGGGGTGCTGCTGGGGATGGCGAGGAGAGGGAGGCCTCAGGCCAGCATGCCCAGGCCCATCAGAGTCAGTGAACATACACCTGGTCCTCTGCAGCCCAAGCCTGGCCCTTGGAGTCGCAAGGCCTCAGCGGCTCAGCCTCTGCTCCCAGCACCCCAGGACAGGGAGCTCAGGACCGCACAGGGCCCCAGCTTCTCCGTGGAAGACTGTGCCTCTGTGGTCACCCTGGCATCTGCCTGTCCTCCATCCCCACCCTACCCACTCGCCAGCTCCTCAGAGGTTTGCAGAGGGGCCAGAGGACCCTGGGTAGCTTGCCCCAGGCCTGGTACTTGCAGGAGCCTGGATCCAGTCCCTCCTCTGCTCCCCCACTCCAGGGTGTCCTAGCTCCTTCCCTATTGAGCCCAACCTACCTGGCAGAGAGGAGCCCTGACCTCTTAATGCACCCCAGAGCTGTTAGCACCCTCAGGGAGCCCCAACCCCTCCTGTCCCACAGCTGTGGGTATTTCATTTTTGTTCTTGTTGTCAGCTTGTTTTTGCCCAAATGCTGGCCGCCTCATGGCAGTGAAAGTGTGGGCTCTGGACCCAAAGTCCACTGCAATGTTTTTTTCTGTGGCCTTAGGCAAGTCACTTTCCTCCTGAACTTCACTTATAAAATGGGAAAATAGTGTCTCCTTGGAGGACAGGTGTGAATTCTGACAGAAGGTGTCCAGCAAACGGGAAGCTGTCAGGGTGCAGAGATAGGCTGGTGGGGTGGGGGCTGCTGACAAGCGTGGGCACTGAGGCGCAGCCTGGCCCATATCCTCTGTTCCTTCCTGTCCCCAGCTCTACGAGGAAGTGAGGCTGACGCTGGAAGGCTGCAATGTGGATGCTGACATTGATAGCTTCATCCAGGCCAAGAGCACGGGCATGGAGCCCCCGGGTAAGGCTGGACTATAGGCAGCACAGCCTCTGGGTATAGGCCTGGCCCCAAGTCCTCTGAGCCTCAAGTGCCAAGACAGGGCTGGGGTAGTTCACAGCTTCCTTCTGGGTGGAGGAGTCCTGGCCAGACACTGGGAGGGGTCAGGGACAGGAACACTTTGCTGTGTTCCTGGCCTGCTGCTTCCCCCAAGGCAAAAGATAGAGAGCTAAGATCCCTATGGCACTCAGAAGAGGTGAGGATGAGAGGTTAGAGGTGAGGAATCTCCACAGTCCCTATCCCAGTTTGGTCCCATTAAATAAAAGTCTAGAATATTCTGTCTGGCAGTCATGATGGGATCTCTCCAGGGAGTGAGACAGGTACCTACCCAACCACCAGGATGGCCCAGGACCAGAGTGGCAAAGTGGGCCCCAGTTTGGGTCTCTGGGGAGGGATAGGCTGGGTGTTAGGGGCACAGGTCCGCCTGCCTGGCCCACGGCCACCCTGGGCCTCACAGGCATGTTGTTGGCAGCCCCAGTGTTGTACCAGAACTACTACGACCGAGAGGTCACCCCATCATCCGGCAGCCCTGGCATACAACCGTCCTGCGGCATGATGAAGAGGTGAGGCACCTCCGGGAAGTCAGTTGCTGATGCTGGGGCTGGAAGGCTGGGCCAGGAAGTGGGTCCAGCCCCACATCCTGTGTCAGGCCCTTCCACACACTTAGGGAGCACCTGCTGTGTCTGGTGTCCTGCTTAGGTGCTGGGCACTCTGAGGAGACAAGATAGCCTCAATCCAGTTTACAGAACCTTCAGCCCAAGAGGACTCAGGCATCAAACAAATGATTACACCCCTATCACTAGAGTGACTGCTCCAAACTCTGGGAAGGCCCTCACGCCAGCTTCTTTGTCCCTTGGGCCCTGCTGCCAGCCTGGGTTGGTGCCCTGGCCACACTCTCCAGCTGGCCTGGGATCCAGGCAGAGCAGGAGTCCACAGCCAGTACACATGGGGGCCTTTTCCAGGCCTGACTGCAGTCAAGGGCCAAGTTCCTAGTGCAGTGCCTCAATGTGTGACCTGGAGGAGTCCCTCCTGCTCTGTAGGGCCAGGGCCCCTGAGTGTTGGGGTCTGACTCAGAACTTAAGGACCCTCCTTGTTCAGGCCTTGGGTGATGCTGTTGGCAGCTCACTGAGAGCATTACTGCCTGCTCAGGGAGCCCCTCGTAGCCAGGCCTTGGAGTAGGGCCATGTGCCCTATCTGAGTATCTGTGGGTTTCATGTGGTGCCTGTGTCCCCACTCTATCCCTACCTCTCTTGTCTCCCGGCAATCTTTAAGAAAGACAGCCCACCTTTGGGGGAGGCAGGGGACATTAGAGAGGGTACTAACAGGGCTCATCCACTCATCCAGGCCTCAGGAGGCCCTGGAGCCTCCTACTCTCCAGAGGTAGAGCCTCTGGGAGCCACCCACATTCAGAGGGGTACACACATGCCTCTTTGGGAATCTTGAGAAGGCAGTGACCCCAGGGGACGGCACATCCACACCCTCACGATGCTACAAAAAACTCACAGGACTCTCCCTGTACTCCAGTGAGGACCTGGATCCCAGCACAGCTGGTCACTTAACAACTGCACCAAAGAGTTCACTTGGGGCAGTGTCCGGAAAGGACAGAAAGGGGTGTTTCTGGGAGGATTAAAAAAAGAAGGGGGCAGCAAGGGAGGCCTGGCTGCTGGATGGGGCAGCTAAAAGTAAGGTGACCAGATTTTAACATTGGTAAAGTGGGACACCATTGACAGGGGGGCAGGGCGGGGCCTGACAACAGTGCAAACTTTGATAAGCAGTTTTCGGTAATCGCTTCTCAACAATTATTTGTTATTATTACAGTTTAACATTATAAAATTAACAAAAATAATATAAAACTCATCCTGGCAAAATAGCCACATGGCAGCTGAAAACTGTATATTCCCTTACTGTTCTCCCGCCCAATCTTTCCAAAAATCGGGACTTTTTTAAATGCTGCAGGACACCAGACAAATTGTTAAAAATCAGGACTGTCCCGCCAAAAGCAGGACATCTGGTCACCCTAGCTAAAAGCAAAGCAGGTTGGGAGAGGCAGGGGTCAGGGTCTGTAGCTGGTGAGTTGAGTGAAATGGAGGAAGTGGAGCTGGAGGTGTAGACTCTGGGGAACAAGGTGGGGGCAGGACAGTGACTCAAGCCCTGCACCCATTCCCTGTGCCCCAGCCTCTCTGTTCCTCCTGTCCCAGCTCCTGCTAGTTTTAACCCTGCCTGAGGGGGCTGGTGCCTGCATCTGCCTGCACGGCCTGTTAGCCTCAGGCCTTCTCGTCCAGGACGCTTGTGTGTCTGTGTGCTCCCACCCTACAAGTGTGTGTACACTCCTGGGGCCTCAGCTCCAGCCCTCGTGTGGGGAAAGGCCCCTCAACCCCTTAACTGTGCACTTCAAATTACAGGGCTGCCTCCCACAGGCCCAAGTCACAGCCCAGCCCCTTCCCTGGCACCTGAGGTCCTGCCTCCTGCACACCCCAATGTCCTCTCCAAACCCACTGTGCTACTGCTCCTCTGCACTCAGCACTCCCTCTCCCCCTCCCTGGCAGCCCCTCGCCCCAATCTCTCTCCTTAAAGCTTCAGTGTCTGGGAGGACTTGCTTTAATCCTCCTAAGATGCTTCCCTGCCTCAGCCTCCACTTACTGAGCCTGCCCTGGCTGTCTGCTTTGTGGGGTGCCAGATCCACCTTCACATTGGGGCCCGCATTTGCCTCATGATTGTTCTGTTTCCCTCTTTTACTCAGCAAACCTTCAGGTCCCCACATGAGCCTGGCACTGCCTCCTACGTGACGCGCTCTCATAGACAGAGGCTGAGCTGGCTGATCAGTGCGGGGCAGTGGGGCAGCTGAGAGGATGGGCTGGGTGTTTCCCATGAGGCTACAGCACGGGGGTGGGGAGTGTCTTAGAACCCTCAAAGGGGTTGCAAGGAGCAGGCACTGAGATGAGCTGGAGGGAGTGGAAGGGCACACCTGGGGAAGGAAGAGCCACTGGGAAAAGGCTTTGGGAAGCCCTCCTGCCTGAGGGGCATGCCACAAAATCACGCCTGGAGACTAAGGATGGTCCAAGCCCTAGCAGAGAGTGCCCTGCACCTCAGAGAGTTTGCCCTGCCTGAGCCCCTCCCTTCCAGTGCGGTCCTGAGTATCATGTGAGGGGACTCACCCTTTCTTCCCTGTCCCCAGGTTCTCCGGGCTGCTACATGGAAGTCCCAAGACCTCATCATTGGCAGCTCCTGCTGGTACCTGGGGGTGATGAGGGGGCCCCAAACACACGACCCCAAGGGGACGGAGAGGACTCCTATGTGGCACAGAAGGGACCTCTGAGGTCCCTAAAGGGGAAGGTTGTAGCTTCCAATAGTGGGGGGAGGGAAGAGGCAAGGCCAGGTAGGGCAAGTGCACTCAACCCACACGGCCTCTAGGGGTCAATGTTCTTAGAAAGGGGAGGAGTCCAGGCCTCACTCTGCTCTCAGCCTCCACAGAGACCCTGACCCCTACCCTCGAGCGGAATGAGGGTGTCAACGAGGGTGTCTACGCAGCTGTGGTGGTGCAGGAGACGCAGGGAAACCCCACAACGCCTGCCCAGGACTACCGGGCGCTCTATGACTACGTGGCGCAGGTGAGTCCCCCAGGAGGGGCCAGTGTCAGTGCAGGAGTGCTATGCAGTGCCCACTGCTCAGGAGGGGCTCAGACACCTGTCAGATGGACACTGGTGATCTGGGACAAGGGCCTGTGTCTGCTCACATCACAGGCGTGGAGCATATGTGCCCCTGTGCCTGCTGGGTGGGTGTTATGTGTGCAGGTGCCCACAGAGCCTGGGGCTGCTTACAGATAGTGGTCTGAGGGTCAGGCCCTGTTCTTCTCTCTGGCTGGGGTACAGAGACAAACCATGGCCAGAGCAAGTCCTTCAGTTGTGCCAGAAATGATTTTCTGGTGTCCACAGGACAGAATGGGCCAGGGTAGTCATGAGGTAGCTGTCCCTAGATTCCCAGAGAAGCCAGTCTGTTCCCTACTTTGAGGTGAGGGTGCAAACTGGATCCCAGACCCTCTGGGACTGAGGCAGAGCCCCTGCACCCAGTGAGGCAGGCTGGGCGTGGGCTGTGCTAACAAGGCCACAGCTCAGGGATGCAGACTCCCCAAGCCCTGGCAGGGAAGCCAGGCCAGGAAGTAACAGGGTGCACAGAGGCGGCTCTGGTAACAGCACTGGCTGGGGCTAGGGACCAGCAGGGAGGGAGGGAAGCCTTGGAGTTGGAGAGCATGCCCTGGCTGTGCCTATCACTGTCTGGAGCAGAGCGGGAGAAGGGAGCAGGGAAAGAAACCCTGGCAATGACAAACTAAGAAGGACAGAAGGCAAGCCCTTTGGGGACACCACATTCTATGTCTCTGAGGAGGAACAGGCATGACCCTGCTAACTGCCTATTCTGGGAGATAAGCTCAAGCTTACTACTGGGGCGGGGGGGATGCCAGACCAGAGCTGCCTAGCAGGGCCCAGCCTCATGTGCTTTTCATCTTTCCCAGAATCCCGATGAGCTGGACATCTCTGCAGGGGATATCCTGGAGGTCATCCTAGAAGGAGAGGACGGCTGGTGGACAGTGGAACAGAATGGGCAGCGTGGCTTTGTCCCTGGCTCCTACCTGGAGAAGCTCTGAAGAAGGGGCAGCCCTCCACCCCACCCAGGGGGCTGGTAGGGCCCCCTGAGCCTTGCTAGGACCAAGAACCGAGCCTCCCCATGCCCAGGATGGGACAGGTGCTGGATGTTCCCCAAGGAGTCTCTCTCATAAGGAATAAAGGGTGCATTCTTCTCCTTGGTGTGCTGGGTTGGTCACTGTCTCCTGCCCTAGTGTCTAGGTCAGGCGTCCTCAACTATGGCCCGCAGGCCACATGTGGCCCACCTGGGACATTTATCCAGTCCACCGGGTGTTTCTGCCGCTGCTGCCTGTCCTGCTTAGCAGCAGGCTCATCCTGGGGCCCGCAGTCCGGCCCTCCAATGGTCTGAGGGATAGTGAACTGGCCCCCTGTTTGAAAAGTTTGAGGACCCCTGGTCTGGGTGTTCATTTCAAAAGAGGCAAAAAAGAGTAGGGACCTGGGGAGCAGAGATGCCCCTCAGACAAGTCCTCACCTGCAGTCACTGAGGGCCCTGGGCTGTCTCACAGTCTGCTTGAAATAGAGAAGAGGCCTGGCCCCAGTCACTGGGAGCTCCCAGACCACCATGCAGACACAGTCACATCTGGGCAAACAGAAGGAGGAGCGGGGGTAGGAGTGAGAAGGTGGGGACACCCAGGTGATATTCTGGGAATGAGCAAACTCAGTTTGGAGCAGGAAACCAGGGATAAGCTTGTGGGTGCAAGCAGTCCTCATGGCCTTCCTCACCCGGCTGGGGCCTAGGAGAGCCACTGCTGCCCATGAGACTCTCATCACAGCATCCCATTAGGGAAGACAGGCACTTTTAAACCCTCTGATACAAGGTGGACGGTGAGCACGGAGACCAGGAGCAGGCTGTCCAACACAGGACAAGATGGTGGCCTGTCTGCAATAGGGCTGGAGAGCAAATCTAGAAAATGAAGGAAGCAGAAAAGGGACTTGGCAACTTAGGGATGTGAGACAAGGGTAGGAAAAAGTGAGAGGGGCAGACAAGAGAAGTGACTTCAGTGCTGAGCCTAGAAGATGGGTAGGTCTCCTGCAGGTGGAACAAGAGATGGAGGAGGGGTAGCAGGAAGGACACAACCAGAGCAGTGGCCCAGGAGCGGTGGGACAGCCCCAGAGGCTGACCAGTTCAGTCAGGTCACGTGTGGGCAGGGAAGAGGAAAGAGAAGAGTGCAAAGTTAGGTATCAGGGCTTTATTTATTCCTTAAAAATGCCGTGTCATCTTGATTCAACATTCTATTCCACTGCAAAGATTTTTTTAAAAACCTTTGGCCTAGATATTTATCACCATCTCTGACAGGTGCCGCAGCATATGGGCACTGGAAGGTGCTGGTAGCAATTGTTAGATAACAAAGCTGGCTTGCCAGTCACTCAGGCTTCCAGAGAACAGCACTGAAAGCAACTCTCAGGTCACAATTTATGCGGGGAAGGGGAGAGGAACCCACAAAAAAAGTCAGATTCATTGCCTCTGCAGCTTTCTCCCTTCTCCCCTGTACCAGGTCACAACCTCAGCTGCTGGGAACCAACTGCATAGAAGAACAGCCTCCCAGCAGAGGCGATGGGGCCAGATAAATAGGGAGCTGGTGTGTGTGTAATTGGGTGTATAAATAACTGTAGCCTCTTCCAGACAACGGCCACTCAAAGGCAGCACAGAGCAGTAAGGAAGCGTAGCTTCTGAATTGGAACATCCAAGTCCAAATCCAGGCTCACAATTCCTTGGGTAGTCTTAGGCAAGTCAGTTTCATTATGGAGTTAGATGCGTACAGTAGGTCCCATGCAAGTTGCTATCCCCATAACATTCCAATTAGCTAACAGTTAAGTGCTAATTGAAATAAAGGCAAAGAATTACCACTTTTAAAAACCTCCAAATCTTGACCACAATCAACTGCAGCTTTGAGCTTAGCATAATCACCCTGGAGCCCCATGTGCTCTGGGACAGCTGTGGCTATGTCACTTTCAATCCCTACGCTCTGTGGGACACCTGCAGCTATGTCACCCTCTATCCCTGTGCTCTCTGGGACACCTGTGGCTATGTCACCCTCAATCCCTGTGCTCTCTGGGACACCTGTGGCTATGTCACCCTCTATCCTGTGCTCTCTGGGACACCTATGGCTATGTCACCCTCAATCCCTATGCTCTCTGTGACAGTTATGGTTTATGTCACTGAGTCCTTCCCAGTAGTGATGAGGAGAAACAATTCACCGTTTGGTCAACCGGACACATATACCACCAGCGTCCAATACCTAATTCTGACCACTCTCCTATAGCCATTTCTAGGCCAAGCAACCTCAACATAAGGGTTCTCTATCTCGCTCAGTCTGGCTGAACCTGGATGTCTGCCTATCTCTGCATCCTGGCATGTGAACTGGCAGCACAAGCCAGAACAAAGTCACCACCAGCAAGTGCACTCAATGGCCTCAGCATCCTCACGGGATTATCAAGACCATAGGGACCCGGCTTTCAAACTATGCTCAGCAGACCCCCACACTCATAGAGTTTACATACTGGACGCAATGGTCCTCAACCCTGCTGCTCAATGGAAATAGCTTTTTAAAATGCTGTTTTGGTCCCACCTTAGACAAACAGAAACTCAACCTCTACAAGCTCAGCTTCTGCATAAATATTTCAAACCTCCTGTGATCTCTAATAAGCAGTCAGAGTTGAAAAACACCTGGCTAATGGGTTCTTCAGCTAAAAATGCTTAGCAGTTTGAAAATCAAATTCTATGGCACCATAGTGACTTATTTCAGACCATTAGTACCCACTATGTGCCAGATGGTAGAGATGCAAAGACAAGTAAGTGTCTTTCTCCCCTACACTGTAATATCCCTGTCTTACTCTCTTCACTGGATTAAACTCAAGAGAACAGGATCCGTGTATGAGTCAACATCTCAACAACTAGAAATGCACATAGCACTGTCCAGAAAAGTGTTCAACAGATAAGGGTACGCTTCTACAGGTCCCTGCAGGAGCTCTCAGAGACACTGCAATAAAAAGACATGCAAACACATATTACCTTCAAGAACTGCAAGAATGCTGGACATGAGATTAGCACATACAGGTCGGGTGCAGTGGCTCACCCCTGTAAGCCCAGCACTCTGAGAGGCTGAGACCAGTGGACTGCCTGAGCTCAGGAGTTTGAGATCAGCTTGAGCAATAGTGAGACCTTGTCTCTACTAAAAAAGAAAGACTAGTTGGCTGTTGTGGTGGGCACATATAGTCCTAGCCACTCAGGAAGCTGAGGCAAGAAGATCGCTTGAGCCCAGGAGTTTGAGATTGCTGTGAGCTATGACACCAGAGCACTCTACCCAGGGTGACAGAATGAGACTCTGTCTCCAAAAAAAAAAAAAATCCAAAACTTAGGAAATAGATCAGGACAATTATTTCATTCATATTAGAAGTAGGCATTAACTTTCACAGGAAAGATTCCTAAGTAAACGCTGTTAAGATCTGAAACAAACAAACAAAAAATCAAACTAGGCAGAAAATAGAAACTGAAAATTCAGAAAATATAAATGGCCGAAACACCTTGAAAAACATCCTGAGACTAGCTAACAGTCAAATAAATAAATACATTCATGACCAGCCTGGGCAAAAGTGAGAGCCTGTCTTTGTAAAAAATAAAAAATGACCTGGATGCAGTGGTGCGTGCCTATAGTCCCAGTTACTCCAGAGGCTGAGGCAAGAGGGTCGCTTGAGCCCAGGATGTTGCAGTCAACTATGATGATGCCACTGCACTACAGCCTGAGTAACAAAGAAAGACTGTCTCAAAAACAATAAACAAATATGTATTATCATCTTTTGGGAAAGGCTGACCATACCCCAAAGTATAAAAAGGGATATAGGACGATGCACATTTTCATATACTGCTACTGAGCAATTAAGTTGATATAATCTTTCTGGGGAGGAATTGGACATACCCATATAAATTTTTTAATGTGACTTTTGATACAGAACAAAGCCACTACCAAGAATCCATCTTTAAGTCCATGCAAAAGTGCACGACATGGGGGTGAAGAAAATGTTTTGGAAACTCAACAGAGGTGGCATTTGCACGACATTGTGAATGTACTAGATGGCACCTATTTACTTCAAAATGGTAAATTTTATACTATGTGAATTTCACCTCAATAAAAATTATTTTAATTAAAAAATATTCTTGGGTAGCACCTGTGGCTCAAAAGGGTAGGGCACTGGCCCCAATATGCCAGAGGTGGTGGGTTCAAACCCAGGCCCTGACAAAAAAAAAAAATATGTATATTCTTGAATGACTAGGAGGATGTGTATTGGAGGTATTCACTGGACCCAGGCTGTAGGCAGCCTCGAGGTCCATCCATTACACACACATTAATTGTGGTGTTAGTACATCCATAAGCTAACAGAAAGGAATGACAAACCCTACAGTCTGCCACGGAAAGAGGACTTTGTAGAATAAAATTGATAATAGCAAAAGTGAAACTTAGGCAGGGTGCGGTGGCTCATGCCTGTAATCCCAGCTCTTGGGAGGCCAAAGTGGGTGGATTGCTTGAGCTCTGGAGTTCAATACCAGCCTGAGTAAAAGTGAGACCCTGTCTCTAAAAACTAGCTGGGTGTTGTGGCAGGGGCCAGTAGTCCCAGCTACTTGGGAGGCTGAAGCAAGAGAAGTGCTTAAGCCCAAGAGTTTGAGGTTGCTGTGATGCCACAGCACTCTACAGAGGGGAGAGACAAAAGGAGACTGTGTCTCCAAAAAAAAGCGAAACTCACCACCAGGTCTGCTTCTGTACACATAGAGAAGAGTCTGGAAAGACACATACTATTGCTAAACTTGCTTCCCTGTGGGTGCCTGGTTCTTTACAAATGTCTATATTGTTTATATTTTTAAGCATCAATTACTTTTGTTAAAATTTTTTTTAAGATGGCAGTAACAAAGCTCTGTCAACTGCCAGGATGAGAAGCAAAGACACCCCAGCAGGAATGAGCATAATGCCAGGGACTTGGGCTCCTCAAAGAAACACCAACTCCAGGGCCTGGACACAGAGGGTCCAAGATGGGCCTGGAACATCTTGTTATGACAGAAAGTATGGAAGTGCTTCAGAAAAACGCTTGCACACAAGAGACAACTTGAAGGGGCTCCCTGATGGCCAAATCTGGAACTATTTAAGGACCTCTTCCC